CTGAAGGTAGGGAGCGTCTCCGGGTCTACCGCCAGACTCTAATGGCCGGTCTCCGAGCGGCGGCACGAAAGCCGACGAATTTGGCTAAGGTAGAAGATGTTCGCCAAGGGCCAAATGAGAGCCCGGCGGCCTATTTAGAAAGAATAATGGAAGCTTTTAGACAGTATACGCCTATAGATCCCACTGCGGATGAGAACAAGGCGGCAGTAATGATGGCCTTTATAAACCAGGCAGCCCCCGATATAAGGAGAAAAATACAGAGGATAGACAGGTTATGTGAAAAGACACTGCAGGATCTATTAGATGTGGCTGAGAAGGTCTACAACAACAGGGAGACCCCGGAAGAAAGGTTAGAAAAAATTAGACTAGAGGATAGAAAATTTCAGGCTGAGGAGACTAGAAAAGCCAGCAAGGAAATGGCCAAAATTCTTCTGGCGGCTACAGGGAGCACGTCAGGGAGGAAGGAGTTCGGCGAGGAAAGAAAAGGCCGCCCCCGTAGGGGAAGGCTAGCGAGGGATCAGTGTGCAAGTTGCCTGGAAACGGGACATTGAGCTAGAGACTGCCCAAAGAAAAAGGGGGGCCCAGAGAAAAGAACATCGCCTAAGAGAGTCTTACTAGCAGATAGTGAATAGAAAAGACGGGGTTCGGATCCCCTCCCTGAACCTAGGGTAACCTTAGATGTGGAGGGGAGCCCAGTCAGTTTCCTGGTAGACACAGGGGCAGAACATTCGGTGATTACTGAGACCACTGGAAAATTGTCCAACAAGACTAGTTGGGTACCGGGGGCAACTGGAACCAAGCCCTACCGATGGACTACCCGGCGAAAGTTAGACCTGAGCTCAGGGCAAGTGAGCCATGCCTTCATGGTCATTCCAGAGTGCCCCACTCCCTTATTAGGGAGAGACATACTCACAAAACTAAGACCCCGTATCTACTTTGAAGAGGAGGGAATAATAGTAACCGATGCTAAAGGGAACCTTATCAGCAGCCCCAAGGTTACTCAAGTCCTGACCCTGGCCCAGGCAGACGAATATCGTCTATATCAGCCCGTGAGAATCCAACAGGAAGGAGGGATGGACTACTGGCTTCGAGAGTTTCCTGAAGCCTGGGCTGAGACAAGGGGAGC